ATAGCTCTGCTGCAGGAACATGTGTTTGTTTAGATTCCTAGTTGCCAGAGGTCGAGCAGTTAACGCCGAACATCGTGGCGAGTTTGCACCACCGTCTTCGCGAATGGATTTACTCATGCGATTTGTTTCTCCCACTATTGTACTTCTCTCCATATCCAATTTTGAGCACTATTCATTACGATCAGGAATATAATTGCTGTGCGGAGGCATATGCACATGTAAGTGTAAGGTCGTGTTCTGGGCGAATATCTTCACCTTCCACTCGACCTGGTTGCCAGGAAAACGTTCATGCCCTCGCAAGAGCAGTTACTGATGCTTTGGGCGCTCTTCAAAATGTGAGATATTTCTCCAAGTTCGCATTCGAATAGTTATAGCAGTCATATTTTCTTCCTCACGTAATCTATTTCTTTCTTTTTATTCTTTCTTACTCAGGCAATTGCATCGTTTTTGAATGAGCTCACATCAAATGGTATTCCTTCAGACATGATATTTACCTCTTACCTAGCCAAGCGCAGGTCTAGACTGGTAACCCCAGTGTTTGAGGTTTGTCCCTTTTTTAAAAAACTCGATTGCTACTCGTTTCAGCACGAACAATCATTCCTATCCACTATTTTTGATGGCATCTGATTTCTCAAGAGCGCATGTGGCGCAATGGCTAGAGGTGCTTTGCGTCGCACACAAGGTCGATGGATCGATCCCGCGCTTATGGCTCACCAAGCCGTCCATCCCTCCGGTGCCGGTAAAGTGGTACCAGACTGATCGCAATCATGTCTGGGGTTATAAGCACTACTGACTCGGTACCGTAGGAAGACCACCGCAGATCGTTGTAAACGCCAGATATGCATTCAATCACCTCAAACGAAGTTGAAAATCGAAGACGAATGCATGGAGCATTCCTCAGGGATTGATCAACGCCAAGAGTTTTATCCTATATCCTTTATCTGTTTTCACTACTCCGCCAATAATCTCACCTAATGCACCGACACGCCTTTTTGATTCACTATCTCGATACATTGGTAATTTTCTCTTGAAGTCAAGTCAGCTGATCATTCTTTTTTGCGATATGAAGCACAGCCTTATAAAGCAATCAGCATCCAATGGAATGTGCTAACCACAATATCTTACAGGTAATTTGGGAAACGAATAGATACGTGCTGTGCTACACACATCTGTGTAATAGATTTTACTTCACTTCGTGCATGTACCGAGCTCAGTAAGATTTTGGCGTAGATATTTCTGTGAAATTTGTGAAATTATTGTATGAATTCAGAGTAAACGTGATTGGATTGGGTATTACACCATTGGTGCAGTGTGCGGTGCTTGCCTTGGGGGCTCCCATAATTGCCGCGCCAATATTGGGTTATGCTCATGGTGATGTTGAAGCCTCACTTGGACGTGGAAGAGTTGTTCAGATCCTAGCCATCACTGGCTTTCATTGTTCATTCGGCTTTTTGCAGATCCTCGCACATTCATTATGATTTCGCTTTTACTGTATCGACAATCTTGGAACATTGCATGTGCGTGTTAGATCGGTCACAAGCTTGACTTTTCGTCTACAGAATGACTTTATGAAAATCGAGAAAATTTACCTTAATAAGCTGACGCGAGGTTGGTAAATTAGTCGTAATAATTCGGCTGACGTCCGACGACCCCACCGTCTTCAAAGCCTGGGCGTATGTAGTATTAGTCCCGCGCCCTTTCTTCGTTTGATCTTTTAGACTGACCTAGCAGCATATAAATAAAATCTTCCGAATCATTCAAATAGAATAATACTACATACGCCTTTTTTGAGATAACCGACGTTGATGATGTAATAACCCAGGTCTTTGCTGAATTTAAAAGCACTAAGACAACATTCATTCTGTAGAGACGCAGATTTATTTATTCAAAATACGAAGAAAATCACCAGTTTGTTCATATCCCTGGTAGGTGGCAAGGGAGACTGGCCCAGCGCAATATCACTGCGTACTAGGTTAACAACATAGAGAGTTTCCTGTTTGATATCATCGCTCATTGTCATCTCAGGGCATGAAAACGCTAAAATAGACAAGCACTATATAATTGTAATTAAGATAACGCAACTTGAATTTTTTGTCCAAAACAAATGTCCATTGACATTTCACTGTGACAAAGAGCAGCAGAGAACAAAATTAGCACATTTACGTCTTTCAAATCCTCCACTGGTTAGGCTGGATTGAAACAGCTGAAATTAAATTGCTTAGCCATGAAAATATCAACAATAAGATGATTAAACCCTTACTCACCGTTCTATAAATGCCAATAGCGCTAGTCGGAGCATTGCCAGAGGCATTGTGGGCGATGTCCAAGGGTTGGAAATCGCTCCTTTCAAATGTTTGCGACGTTGAACTTTTGAAATATTTGAATTCAGTCTTTTAGTAGCGGTTACAGCGGAATATTTTTCCAGTGTACAGTCTGAGCCGAGTGAATTATCTGTGCCTGCTCTTTCTCATTTGAAGCGCAATGGTTTCGTGGTAAAACAATACTTAACAGGTGACAAAGTTTTGTCACACTTGTATTACTCGATCAGAATAATGTGGTGATACTGAAGTAGTTCCCATTTCAATTATCCTCGATTATCCTTGAAGAGAACAGACTTATTTTTACTATTCTCAGCTTTGCTGAAGTTTCTTCTATCATGTTTCACCTTTAACTGATGGCAAAAGCCATCCAGTCACGAGAAAAGGCCAATTTCACTAGACGAATACCACAATGATAACGAACCGCCGGCCAAGATTTCATCGTCGTTGTCAAGCCGTTATATCGCCGCATGTGCAGCGATATAAATACAGCTTCTACTCAGAATGCTTTGAAATTTGATACACTTATGCAATTCAAATCCATTACTGGAGTTATCAGGACGAAATTGCTGTATTTATTGGAAGAAGATCTGTCAAAATTTCGAGAGGTAAATGGAGCAGGTATTGATCATCCGTCCTATAAAGCACCGCCAATGTAGACTGAGACATTTCGAGAAGTATACTCCGAGAAAAACGTGCCATATATGACTTCTTAGATCTAGGTAATGTTGTACTTCTTCATTTTACTTTGTGACATTATACCTCAAAATTATTATTTGAGCTGACATAGCAGTTATGGACCATGTCCGCTAGACGAGGTTGGAAGGGCGAAACACGTGTATCGGGCTGTAAAAGGATGAAGCCATAACAGACTGCATGACATGTCGGTCAAATAATAATTATGAGATCCTAAGAGAATTGAGTGATGACCAAAAACACGACCTCAGGCAGGGAGTCGAACCCACGTTTCATCCTATCCGGGGACGCGTGCTCTACCACTACACCAGTGAGGCACATTTGCCCGACCACTCTTCTTCAACATCTCAGTGTTAACTATCAGCCATCAACCTTTGACAGCTTCGATTCCCGCCTGAGGCCGTGTTTTTGCTCATCACTCAATTCTCTTGGTAATATAGGAAACATCATAACAGTGCGAAATGCACTAAAAATACTATCAATTTCGAGAATTATGAGATCTATCAAAATTTGAGCGTAATCTTGATAAATCTCTCAAAATCAGCGGTATAATATTTATGACTTTATTTGATCTGTCTTACCATTTATTATTCAATGTGCAGCCCAATACTTCTAGCATTCATTTCGTTATTCGCACTTTTCTTCAAAGTCAAAGAATACTGTTGGCACGCCTATCTGCAATATCGATAATAACCTGGCTGTGGAGTTTCATAGGGCTTTCTTTATTGACTGCTGGAGCGTGTTGGTGAGTGGACATTAGTTCCACGCCATGACAAACATCACAACTAATCAGCACTCATTCATCTGATTTTTTCCCGTATTTAGTATAGATGCTATACGATTTTGACACAAAATAAGAAAATTAACAGGTCCAAATATACTTCAGTATCGTACTTTGTAATAGATGAATCAAAACTAAGGTTAATTATTTATAGTGTAGAATGCGTTAATGTTGAAGGTTTATTGCAGTAAACAGTCATTTACGCTATGCTTTCCCACATTTGTAATCACTGCCGTAGGAACTATTATAAGATAATCATAATAAACGGATTAGTTGATCGAAGGACTAATTTAGCGCTCTGTAAATCTTACTACTGTTTCTGATGGTAACATTTGTGTAGATATCAGAAGCCTTGATGCCGTTTTTCCGCACTGGCTTATGAGTTTAGAAAGCTTGTTTAACAACGTTGACAAATCACTCAGCCTAACTTAATTCTTTCAACATGAAACGCAATCATCGTGAAAGACTGATGTTTCTGAATCGCTAAAACCTATCGAAGATTTTCGCATAGATATTCCACTAGTGAGCTTGTTTACTCTCCATCTGTTGATTTCGAAACAAACTTCAGCAGCCGAAATCGAGGTAATATTTCTCAAGCAGGCATTCGGAAGCTGTGGAATGAACATCATCGTCATAAAATTGTTTCGCAATCAGTTCATTTTGATCATTTCATTTTATGTATCTTCTTCTTGATTTGACGGCTGAAGCTTTGCGAAATGCGGTGCCTGTATGAATGACATCGCAAAATTTAAGTAAGACAGCGGAATCTTTCGCTCTGAGTGTTCTCTTGAGACCAAGCACAAATTTCAGTATGTTTGAGATTCCGATATGTGAGGACTGCCCATACAAAAGGCGGTGTGCAACTGACGAGGTTGCAAGGCCGAAACATGTGTATTGCGCTGCATAAGTGCCTGAAAGAGACCACATGATGGCTCAAAAATATTTGCCACGATGCACAGAAATAGAAAAGGTCGTTACGAAAATATATCCATAAAGCTCAGATTACAGAATTCAGGAAATAGTTCAAGGACTGCCCACAAAAACCAGTTGCATTCCTTGTAACGTAAGTACAGATTTGTATACTGGAATAGTATGGTCATATTAGGTCTCCAACTGAGCTTCCAAACTTTCAAAATTCGAAAATTTCTTCCCAATTAATCGAAAGTACCATGTAAGCTAAGAGAACTAAGTGATGAGCAAGAGTATGGCTTTAGGCGGGAGTCGAACCCGCGTTTCATCCATGCCGGGGACGCGTGCTACCACCACTGCACCGTAGAGGCACATTTGCTTCACCGCCCATTCTTCAACATCTCTATGTTAGCTATCAACTACCAGCCTTTAACAAGTTTGGTCGAGTATGCGATTTCTCTTTATAACCCCAGTTGAGCTAACAGCCACTGTTAGATGTAGGACACGGAAATTCTAGTGCTCTTACTGCTTTTTTCGCAGTGTTCTGATGTAAGAGAATTCGTTATCCGACCAAGCGTGTCAAACGAGCCAACATAGAGATATTGGAGAATGAGTGGTGTGCAAATGTGCTTCGGTGGTGTAGTGATAGTAGCACGTGTCCCCAGCATGGATGAAACGCGCGTTTGATTCTCGCCTGAAGGCATGCCTTATTTTGCTCGCCCCACAATTCTTTTAGATTCATATGTGATATCATAAGATTGCAAAAAAAGCGGTAAGAACACTAGAATCTCGGAGTACCAAATAACAGAATCATGCGTTTTATCTGAAGTTTTATTTAAAACGGCAAAACAATTCCTAATTGAATTACGAAATTCGCACTTCACACCTGGTCCGTCTAAAAGCCATCGTTCGATGATTGGAACAAACCTTTCTGCAACATAGAATCTGAGTCTATCGTTATAAATTGAGTATCTTTCGGAGCGGAAAAGAATTCCCAAGTGAAAACAGGTTGCACACCACATGTCTAACGCGTAAGGGCATCAATCTGCCAATATAGTGAAAAGGTCTATTTGGAAAATAAGCACAGCGCTGGAATCATTGAAACTTACGCTATTGAATGATTACAAATAATCTAAAGAAAGAGCTCCTCCTGCGCAGTGTGAAGCACAAAATTTTTCTTCCTCCTACAGTGCTTTAAAAAGAGCTTTTTCAAAACCAAACACATATTTGAGTTCCCCGAGACGTGTGTTGTCACAAGAGCAATAGCACTCTAAGAGAGGAGTTTTGTACAGGGAAATATGAGCGACATAAGAAAAGAAACGCGTGGTCGTGTGGTATAAAGTTTTCTCTCGAATTTTTCAGCATTATAAAATGGTGTTTTTGAAAGCAGGCTGTGTAAGGTTCTAGCCACTGATTTGAGGATTCAAAATGATTGCTGGTATTTCCTATGAAAAACTTTCTCGTTCAGCAAATGAGATTATCTTTTCGTTTGTTCCCGGATAACGGAAAAGAAATAGGTAAAATAAATGTCATCAAGATGAGAACAATTGTGTAGCAAGAGTTTGAAAGCGTTGCTTTTCCTAAGAATGTAGCTTTCGATGTGAAAAGTGAAGATGTTAGGGCACGAAGGTTCTTTTTAACGCCCAAGGACGACGTGTAACAAATAAGGTACACGATTGTTTGAAGGCCTTTCTCGCTGCATAAAAGTCTTTTCTTTGACATTTGGTAACCATTCGAAAGCTTAAACTTTTGCAAAATCAACGACTTGCTTATTCTCTAGATTGTCTTTTCATTACGTTGCAACAATGAAAAGAAATTTTGTTGCACACTCAGTTTTCTTCAGTGCTCAACTGGGGCTTCGACATGGCTCTTCACCGAAGTTTCATTAGTTAATACATAGCACACTTCAACAAACTTCGTGATATAGTTGATTCTTTGAAAGGTTGTCACAGTACGTTTTAAGGGTTGAAAAAAGATCACATTTCACAGTCTAGAAAGCTATCTCGCCGTTGGAAGACATAGGTGGTTTATTGGCAATTATAGGTGGTTTCCACGGACCTCCCTCTTTGAGGGATCCCGCCCGGTTAGTCGCGAGGGCACGTGGCGCGTCCCCAGGTGGTGGATAGGGGAATAAAACGCGAACCAAAAGCGACCGTGTGCTTCCCAGAGACGCAGGTGGATTCAGGGGACGAGCTCCCTGCTTCTGCAGCGCCGACTTGACAAAAACTCTATTTCTACGAGTCAAGTGGGCCAAAAGCCTGCAATCAAGCGGCTGGGAAGTACATGGGAGGCGATTAGGAGTCGCCTCCAACAAATAAGCTCCTCCCGCTCCTCCGAGAGAGACTGGCAAGCTACTCGTGAGTACCCAGCCCCCACGTTTAGAGCCTGGCAAGCTACACGTTGGGTATCAAAATGCCAAAAACAGTAACAAATATGGGCCTCATTCCCCTGAACCCGAAAGAGCCCCTGGTACGGCAGCGCCAGGTAGGACGAGTACGGAGAGGCTGCTAAAATCTCAGGGCCGAACTAGGCTGCCAAGATCGAAACGGACTAAAATGACGATCTGTACCTACAACGCAAGAACCCTTGCTCATCAATCCGCTGTAGAAGATCTATTGATTCAAGCAAGAAGAATAAGGTACGACGTCATTGGCCTGGCTGAGACGAGAAGGCGCCATCCTTTTCACGCTGTCTATGACACCGGAGAAGAACTGTTCCTTGGAACATGCGATCGCAGAGGTGTCGGTGGCGTTGGCGTCCTCGTCAAATCGAATTTGACCGTGAGCATTGATTCGTTCGAACAACTAACAACCGTATCGGACGATTACGGTTGAAACGATGTGGTTCTATGCCGGCTTTGACCATCTTCGTTGCTTACGCACCAACATCAAGCTATGACGAAGACGAAGTCGAAGCGTTCTATATGGACCTCGAAAAATTCTTCAGAGAAGATCATACATTCTTCAAGGTCATTGTCGGAGATTTTAACGCAAAAATTGGACCTAGAAGAACGTCTGAAGAACGTCACATAGGGACCCACGGACTAGAATGGAATGAACAGGGTGAGAGGCTATCCGAGTTTATCATGACGACCCAAACCATCCATGGTAACTCGCAGTTCCAAAAGCCTCTTTCTCAGCGATGGACGTGGGAGTCTCCCAATGGAGAGTACCATAACGAAATAGATCACATCATAGTAAATCGAAGGTTTTGCCTGACCGACGTCGCTGTTGTTTCCAAGTTCTACACGGGATCAGACCATCGCCTCCTTCGCGCAACGTTCCGATTTTTGAGGAGAGGAGAGAAAGCCGCTAAATTCAAACAACGAAGTCCCAGAACTACCATAAACTGGGATGTATTCAAATCATTAGTCGGCTCTTGGAAGATACCGTTGTCGACAACATCGACGAAGAATACGATCGACTCGTTGAATATCTTCACGTTAGCGCTATGAAAGCCGAGAGTCCTAAGGTCACGAAGAGACGCTTGTCTCCGCAGACACTCGAGCTGATACGTCAACGTGGAATCGCACGAGCCGCAGGCAACCGAAACCTTACGTCCGAACTTGCGAAACGATGCAGAGAAGCGATAAAGAAGACCTTAAAGAGAGAAGAGCAGCAGTTATGGCAGAAGCTGCAGAAGCTGGGAAGAGCATTCGCAAAGCCCAGCGAGGCTTCGCCAACTATAAGACCAAGATGATTGCACTCCGATACCCTGACGGGACACTTACAGCTTCCAGAAGGGCTATGGAGAAAATCATCCACCAATACTACTCGGATCTCTTCGCTAGCCATGTTCTCTTACCGTCATATAAATTGAAAGAGGACGAATATGTCGTTCCACCGGTCCTTCCTTCCGAATCCGACATGCTATATCGTCGGTGAAAAACAGAACAACACCCGGTCCAGACAGGATTAGACCAGAACACCTGAAGAACCTGCCGCCAGTTCTCATCAACACCCTGGCTCGGCTCTTCACTCGCTACCTGTCAGAATGCAAGGTCCCTATTCAATGGAAAACCAGCAAGACCGTATTGTTGTTCAAAAAGGGAGACCTTCACGACATAGGCAATTATCGCCCAATCTGCTTGCTGTCCGTTGTCTATAAACTCTTTACTCGAGTCATCCTGAACAGGATTGACAGAACACTGGACGAAGGACAGCCATGCGAACAAGCAGGGTTCAGAAAAGGATTTAGTACCATGGACCACATCCACACGATCACAAGACTCATTGAAGTTTCGCGAGAGTACAAACAACCACTCTGTCTCACTTTTATCGATCTGAAGAAAGCCTTTGATTCAGTGGAAACAGAAGCGGTTATAGAGGCTCTGGATAACCAGGGCGTCCCTACTCGGTACATAATGATCCTTCGTGAGCTTTATAAAGATTTCACGACCAGAATATCTCCATTCTACAACAATATCACCATTGACGTAAGAAGAGGGGTTCGACAAGGCGATACAATATCGCCAAAACTATTCACTGCCACCCTACAAAACGTCATGCGAACATTAGAATGGGACGAAATGGGAGTGAAAATTGACGGTCGACAATTAAACCATCTTCGCTTTGCTGACGATATCGTTCTCATAACACCAAACATCAGCCAAGCGGAACGAATGTTGACTGATTTCGATAACGCCTGTGGAAAGATCGGTCTTCAACTGAATCTAACGAAAACAATGTTCATGAGGAACGGATGGGTTTCTAATGCCCCATTCACGCTCAACGGAACGACAATTTCCGAATGCTCCAGTTACATCTATCTAGGTCGTGAAATCAACATGATGAACGATCTAGCCCCAGAGTTGAGCAGGAGGAAACGAGCGGCTTGGGGAACGTTTAAGAGCATCGAAGATGTAGTGAAGAGGACAAAGAACATCCGACTCCGTGCCCACCTTTTCGACTCGACAATTATCCCTGCCCTAACGTATGCAGCAGAAACCTGGTCGCTACGTAAGCAGGATGAAAGATCACTTGGAGTTATCGAACGCGCAGTCGAAAGGTCGATGCTAGGAGTATCCCGTATTTCGCAAATGAGACAAAGGATCCGAAGTTCCGACCTACGTCAACGATCGAAAATCAGAGACGCCGTTCTACACGCCAGGATATCGAAAATAAGGTGGGCCGGACACGTGAATGAATATCGTATTATCTGCCAACTTCCACAAGACATATCCTTTTGAAGATTATGTGGAACGTTTCGTCCTACACCGCGCAATGTCTTATCTCCTCTCTAGTGTAATGGCGGCGCGCTCCCTGTGAAAAAGCGGCTAATCTCGTGGAAAGACAGGCGCCAGACAACATATTAGATGTGAAAAGACGAACCAAGAGTCTGAGAACATTTTCATCATGAAATAATGGGGTTT